TGAGACAGGCTTTGGGGGGACTTGGGCCAGGGGAGGGAGATGGGAGGGGGATGGCAAGGGTAAAATGGCAGCTTTTTCCACTTAGATCTTACAGTTTTGTAAGAGTTGCCTTTGCTGCAGGAGTGAGAGGCCTGCGAGAGTGGGTCACCAGGCGAGTCCACAGCTGAAGGGTGGGGGGTTTGTGTTCCTGGGACCTCATGCTTATGATACCCAGTATGGAGACCCATCCCTTCTCTCTGGAACAGCTCTCCACCAGCCCTGCCTCCACACACAGCCTCTTCTGGAACCTTCCACCTACTCAAGGTCCAAGACTACTTTCTTGCCAGCTCAGCCTCTTTGCTTTTCAAACTCTTTCTTCTGAAACCTGGGGCTCCGGGTGCTGAGCCCCGTTCCCCCAGCATCATCAGTGTTGCTTACCAGCCCGGGAGGGGACTGTGTGGCGGGGGGATTGTGAACTGCTTGTTAACAAATACAGACGTGCTGGCCTCGTGCTGCTCGCGGGGTGCACTCAGGTGCACGAGCTTCCCCGTCTCAGCGCTGTGGTTTCTGATATCGTGGGGGCTCCACTGGGCTTGCTGCAGAATTTCTTCCAAGAGGAGGGACTGGGAACGGAGCCGTCGCTGCCAGTTGCCCTCCCTTCCCCACTCCCCTGCCAGGTCAGGCTGGCTTTCTAAACAGACCTTCCTCCCGCATCTGTTGCAGGTACCCTGTGGCTCATGTCTGCCCCCTCTTTTCCTTCTCCTTCCGCCTGCCATGCAGAGGGCAGTCAGATGCCTGGGTTTGGTCTGGGCCCTCCCCCAAACCGACCCCTCCCTCAGTTCCTCCAGCTCTGCCTGTGGCAGGCCAAGAGGGACCCTGTCTCTGGCACTTGTGTGTGTGTCCACGTATATGTACGGGCCTGCAACTTGCGCGTGTGTGTATGTGTGTATGCTCCCGCAGCCTTGCTGCAGGGGAGCAGGGGCTGGGCTCCCGGGCGACCCATCTCTCCAGCTTGTGGACTCTTTTTCTTTCCAGATGAAGACAGGCCCCTTTGCAGAGCACTCCAACCAGCTGTGGAACATCAGTGCCGTCCCCTCCTGGTCCAAAGTGAACCAGGGCCTCATCCGCATGTATAAGGCCGAGGTGAGTGGGGACTGGCGGGCACTCTTGGTCCTGGGCTGCTTCTCCCTCGTCCCCACCCCGCTGTTTTGCTCTGAATCCAGCTCTGAGCTTCCGGCCAGCCCCTCTGACGCTTGAGGCCTCAGAATCTCTTGTCGGTGGGATGGGCAGTCAGAAAAGCACTGGACTGAGGCCCAGCTCTGCCCTGTGACTGAGCCAAGGCCCCGCTGCTTGGGGGTCTCTGTTCCCACTTGTCAAATGGCTGGAGGCCCTTCTCAGCTCTGTCTCCTGTGGGGACACGGAAATGAAAACAGGCTTGGGAAAGGGTTTTATCCTTTGGAGGCATCATCCAAAGTGATGTCTCTCCAACTTCGGTGGGTCTGATCGCTGGGCAGGTGGGAGGCCGGGAGCTGGCATTTTTAATGACCACTTGAGGTGGTCCTCGCTGCTCTCCAGTCAGAGAGGCAGGGAGAGGTCTGGATTTCCAGAGCTCCCCGTGCTGGGAGGCGGCTGCCCCCTCTCCTGCCCTTCTCTGCTCGCCTCTTTGGCACCCTTTTCCCAGCCAAGGAGGTGGCTTCTTTTCTGGCAAGTAGGGAGGAGACATGTCTTCCCACCCCGTGCTTTCCTCTGGCTGCTTGAACATCTCATGCAGACCAATCCTGGAACTGCTTGACCTTGGCCAGGGGAGGGCCTGGGCGTGAAGTCCCTCACCTGGAGGAGTGGGTCCCAAAGTCCCCTTTTTTCACCCTCAGGCTGGTGGTCTCAGGTGTTGCCCTGCAGGTGCGCCTCTCTTGACCCTTGGTCATCCCTCTCCTGGGGACAGGGGATTCTTCGGGTGGCCTCCTTACACCCAGAGCTTACTCAGACCCATCAACAGAGGCAGAGGAGCAGGGAGGGCAGGCTGTAGGGGGTTGGGTGCATTTGGTGGTACCAGCGCTTCCAGTGGGCCTGGATCCCTCTGCGTGGCCCTGAAGGGGTTAAAGGCTCTGGAACTGACCGGGCCTGGCCTTCTCTCTCCCTTCCGCCCCCTCCGTCTCCGGTCCCCTTCCTCTGGACTTCACATCCTGTGTTTAGGTTCCAGCCCACATACCTCTCTAATCTGAGAGGAGCCTTTGCTGGGGCTGTGCAGACTCCTTCCGGCCGCAGCCCTGCCCTCCATGCTGGCTCTCCTGCTGGGGAGCACCCGGGGTCCTGCCCTCTGCGTGTTCTGTTGTTCTTGACACCCCTGCCCGCCCCAGTCCCACAGTGGGTGTTGAGGGGGACTCCCTGCTGGCCACGCCCCCCCC